AATTGTAAATAAGTTTTAATATGATAATACTTTGTGCTGCTTCATTCAACTTTGCAGCGCTTTTTTTTTTCTCTCCACAAACAAAGAAAAACTGTGATATCTATAATTTTAAACCATACACAAGGTAATTGCATAGGACTATGCTTTTACACTATTTTATTTGGCAATCAAAAACAAACAGCCTTAATGAAAGGAATGCAAATAAAGATTACTGGAAGCCTAAAACATACACATTACTTCAAATCAATGCAACTTCTTGTCTGTAATAATTTTTTAAAAAATTCATATACTAAAATTATTTAAATAATAAATTTCTTCCCCTTTTTTAACAAGGAAAACTATAGCTAAACATAACATGACTTCAAATTAAAATTCAGCTGTTAGACACTAAAAAAAAAAAAAAAAAAAAAACTCCAAAAACATGAAGAAAATGGAGCATTTTTATACAGAAAGACCCATGAGACTTACCTTTGATCCTGCAAGTTTGTTTTGTTCACAGGTTTCTCAACTCAAACCTCAGGAGAAAGTGTGCTAGATTTGGAGCTGGCTGTTCCAATGACTTTATTTCATCAAAAGTTTGATAAGATATTGTCTTGTAGAGTTTCTAACTTTACTGCTGGACACATCAGTGTCATCCATCAACTAGAGTGTCTCCTAACTCCTCCTCCATGTCATCAGTATCCAAACAATCCACAAAAACGTGTAAAATAATTGCTCGCTCGTCTCCTTTATACAAAACAATTGAATAGGTTATAAAACTTCAATGACCTTTATTCTAACAACTTTCTAAAAGTTTATGTTCTACACCAATCTTACAAATATTAGCACTGTCTTAGTCAACTAACATTTTATGCCCCTGACAAATTTAAGAACCTTATTTGTCTCTGAAACATTCAATAGATTTTTACCTTTAAAATGACTTTTGTATTGCATATTGCCCTATACTGGGCACTGACAAGTGCTGAACTATAACAGATAACTGTTACATGACAATATAGAATATAATAAAAATTTACCTTGTTCTCATTAAAGAGTGTGACTAGATCAGACTGTATGGTGCTGGATTTTCCCACCATGTATAATATCCTTGTAGCTGCCAAAGTGTGTTCAGGCATTGTACTGTTGAACATTATGTACCTAAATAGAAAATTGTCATCTATAAACTTTAATTTGTATAATGGATGTACATTTCTAAGATATAATCTTAAGGAGTGAACAGTTTAAAGTAAGGTTATTCTGTTCGGATGTGCATGCTAACTTGATTTTACAAATTATTTACTCCAATACATGGGATACTAAGATAACACAAATGAGCCGCGTCATGACAAAACCAACATAATGGTTTGCGACCAGCATGGATCCAGATCAGCCTGCGCATCCGTATTCGCTATCAGTTTCACTACTTGTTATAGGGTTTTTAAGCGAACAGCATGGATCCTGATCAGACTGCGGGGATGCGCAGGCTGGTCTGGATCCATTGTTATGAAATATTATTTTAGTCTCTCTTTTTTCAGTTTTAAAGCTGCATGCCTCCAGATGAGCCAAAACAAATAAAATAAGAAAATCAATCTTAAGGAAAATGTACAAATTTTTTTTTAAGAAAAGTAAAAATATTTACAATTCAAGTAATAATATGCATGTTACATGCAAAGAATGGCTGATTTTGCAGTATTCATTACCATATTTCTATACATGAAGGGCTCGTTTCGCTATTTCCACATTTGGTAATTTGTATGGATTTTGCACAATACACTGTACTTTTACTTTCTTTTTTCACTTGAACATATTTTATTTTTTCACTTGAACATATTTTACATTTTAGTACATTTTGATAATAAGTCAGTTGGGATGTGATATGATAATTGTTTTAATCATTATTATTACTTACTTTGCTACAGTGACAATATAATCTGCCTGGTTTGTCCTAGGGTTGATACCAAGAAGTAGCCTTTCCACGGGTGTGACAAGGAGAGCAGATCCTGTCTCACGAACCATATCAATAAACAGTTCCTCTTTCTCTAGGGTGAGTTCTATTATTTGTAGACACAATAAGGCAGATTTCTCTAAATTCTTCTGTCCTGATACATATAAATATAAGAATATTTGAGTATTGAAGCCATTTCAATTCTGCCAAACATTTGGCAGTAAAGAACTATATATGTATTGCAGAAACTGTTACATTCTTTCATAAGTAACAATCTTGAGAATAATTCTTTCATAATATTGATAAAAATTCTAAGTAAACAAGGTGCATAACTCCTAAAATATTATTGGAATTATGCCCCTTACCTTACACATACATCCTATCATGATAATTAAGTATTGCAAGTTTTGTGTAGATACCTTAACAATTGTTTGAGAAATGGGCTACATAAAAGCTTTTGAAAGACAACGATGCCTCAGCTATCAAAAATAGCTAATAAGCTAAATAGACAATTTCTTCCAAACAGGAAGAGATAGAGCTATTATGAACTTACTAACCTGGTGTGTTTGTATAACTTTCAAAATGTGTCATTGCATCATCTAAGATCCGCAGAATCTAAAAGAACAATGTTTACAATTTTACATTCATACATGCATATATATGTCTTTCATGAGGAAATAAATATGTCAAAGGAAATTGGATTATAAACATTATTTCACTTTAAAAATACAGGTTCAGTGGAGATGGTCTTCAGTGACCTTTAACTGGAGAGAGCAAATAAGGTTACTATACACAGGGGGTCACAAGACACAATCCCTTCAGTTTCCTTTCATGTTATCAATGTGATTGTATAATAAGAATAGCTGTTCATTACTACATTAATGTAATCTAAAACCAGATATCCAGTCTTCATACCATTAATTCTGATAGGGATTTTAAAACAAAAATAAAGTACTGTATAAGTGGATATTTATATGTCACAAAAATTTTGTGAAAGTCAAAAGGCGGACTTCTTGCGTGAGCAAATATATGCAAAAAAATGATTTCTTGAATTTAATACTACTTTTGTGATATCAATAATAAACAAGTACATGCCAAGAATATGCCTTTAATGCAAACGTTTTATTCAATTGTTTAATACCTTTATTATTTATATAATTGTTTGAAATATATAGAGGATATTTGTTTGTTTGTGTGTAAGATGAAACAAAATTACATCTTATACAACAAACTAGAAATGTGTCATCATGCCACGGATGCCCCCGCATGCAGCCAAAATTTCAAATGTTATAATATTTAGTTCCAAATTTGTTTGCACAAATTATTTTTTTCATTCTAAGTTCAAAGCCCTTAAAACTTTTCAATGTTAACACAAACCATTTTTATACAATGTTCAAGGCACTGAAATTATTCAGTCTTAACCATTTTTATACAATGTTCAAGGCACTGAAATTATTCAGTCTTAACCTTTTAAAAATAGCATATTGCATATTTGTAGCCAACATAATGGCTATATACATTTCCACAAAAGTATGAGTGCTGAAACTGAAAGTTCAAATTTTTTCCAACATTCAGGAAAGATAAGTTTGTCTAAAATCATTGAACCACGACCAAATTCAAACTTAAACTGCTTATTCCTAAGATGTATCTATATTATTTTCAAAGTGAAAGGGACATAACTCTGCCAAAAAATCATCGAACCATGACCAAATTCCAACTTGACCTGCGCATTCCTTTGACATATCCATATGTCAATTTTGAGTTGAATATGTAACACTGTTGGGTTGATAATGAACAGAAACTGTAAATTTCATATCATTTTCAAAGTGAAAGGGGCATTACTCTGCCAAAAATCATTGAACCATGACCAGATTCGAACTTGGTCTGCGCATTCCAAAAACATATCCATATTTCAAATTTGAGTTGAATGTGTAATATTGTTGGGGAGATAATAAACGGAAATTGAAAATTTCATATTATTTTTAAAGTGAAAGGGGCATAACTCAGCCAAAAATCATCCAACCATGACCAAATTTGAAATTGACCTGCACATTCCTTTGACGTATCAATATGTCAAATTTGAGTTGAATGTTTAATACTGTTGGGGAGATAATAAACAGAAACTGAAAATTTCATATTATTTTCAAAGTAAAAGGGGCATAACTCTGCCAAAAATCATCGAACCATGACCAAATTTGAACTTGACCTGCGCATTCCTTTGCATATCGATATGTCAAGTTTGAGCTAAATGTGTTGTACGATTGGGGAGATAATGAACGGAAACTAAAAATTTCATATTATTTTCAAAGTAAAAGGGGCATAACTCTGCCAAAAATCATTGAACCATAACCAAATTTGAACTTGACCTGCGCATTCCTTTGACGTATCCATATGTCAAGTTTGAGTTGAATGTGTTGTACCATTGGGGAGTTAATGAACGGAAACTGAAAATTTCATATTATTTTCAAAGTAAAAGGGGCATAACTCTGCCAAAAATCATCGAACCATGACCAAATTTGAACTTGACCTGTATTTTCTCATGACATATCAATATGTCAAGTTTGAGTTGAATGTGTTGTACCGTTGGGGAGATAATGAACGGAAACTGAAAATTTCTGTTATTTTCAAAGTAAAAGGGGCATAACTCTGCCAAAAATCATCGAACCATGACCAATTTCGAACTTGACCTGTATTTTCTCATGACATATCCATATGTCAATTTTGAATTGAATGTTTTGAACCGTTTGGGAGATAATAAACGGAAACTGAAAATTTCATATTATTTTCAATGTAAAAGGGGCATAACTCTGCCAAAAATCATCGAACCATGATCAATTTCGAACTTGACCTGTATTTTCTCATGACATATCCATATGTCAAATTTGAGTTCAATATGTGCAAGGGTTATTAAGATAATGAACGGAAACTGATGATGACGGAAGGACGGAATGACGGAACAGGGTAACACTATATGCCCCTGCCATTATATGGCGGGGGCATAACAAACAAATTTTCTTTTTATTTTATGCATAAAAACAAGTTAAAACGAAATTTCCATAATATTAACGTAAATATTAAAATCTGTTTTCCCCATTGAGAGCCCCATTTAGTCGGAATTTCTCATTAAAAACAAGAAGTCTTGAGCTGAAAAATAAGTCTGACAATCAACATTAAATGACAGTGATATTATTTATTTTGTTAAAAAAATATGAATGATTGTTTGTTTTTATAATAATCAGTTTTTATAATAAAAACAAACAATTCTTGTAGGAGAAAAATTCTAACCATCCATCCATATTTCTGTTACTTACTGCTAATTTATATTAGACCTGGCTTTGTTAAATGTAAGCGGCAGCCATTTTTTAAAGTTGTGTATTTCATGGGAGGAAAATAATTGTGTTTGATTCGGAGGGATATCATTTGGATTTGTTAGTCATACACCTTTTTAAAAGAAAGAAAACATATTTGAGGATTGAAACAGACAAAACATAAGTGTTTACAGATGTGAAAACAAGAAAAAGGCAGCTATGAAAATGGAAAACTTGGAACTTGCTCGGAATGCTGGGTATTTAACTTGTTCTACGAGCTGATAGCTGTCATTGCTTTTCAATTTTTCGTAAAGCATACGGCAGTTATTGCTTGTAGGATACTTTAATATGCCCAAATGTCATCAAGAGCAGTTTGCATGTGGAAGGAATGTATTTTTCAGACTGTAAACATGAAACAAACAATTCAGAAATGAAACTTGGTGATTGGAATTTGAATGAATAGAAGTAATTTTTCTTCTTTTTATTACTTTTGACATTTAAGTTATTTATCAATTTCAGCTTTGCGTTTTCTTTAAACAGCCTGACATTGTCAGAATTGTTAGCAAAAATAAAATTGAGGTACCCCATGGGAAAAATCTTAAAAAAGTAGTTTTGGCATTGAAAAGTGTGAAATTATATTTTGATAATTTTCACTGTGAAATTATCAAATATAATTTTCACGGATAAATCAGTAATCCACTGAAAAGCATAAAATAAACATTGTTAGTTTGATAAAAACCCTGATCACACATTTCTTTTCATATTTTGAAACATTCTTTTGTTATATGAATAACCTATTGTGTTAATTGTTAACACAAATATTGTTTTATCAAAACATTTGTGATTTGTTAAGACAAACTTAAACAACGCAATGAGAAAAATAATCTCAGTACCTGAACAGTCAAACTTATTCATGTAAGATGCTGTATGAAAATGTGTTTTCAAATGAAAGAAGAAAGTTTGCCTAAAAAGAAATAATTTTTGTGCGATCAAATATTTGCGAATAATTTCAATTTGCAAAAATTGCAAATATTTCCATGTCGCAAAATTAACCACTTATACAGTAAATGAGAATATAAGAGTTTTACCATTTGATAAAGTCTACTATCTTTCAACATGTTGACCATCAGTGTAAATCCGGCAGGTTTATTGGCAACTATAGTTTGACCACTTCCCATCTCTATCACTTGATCCATGAAATGATCTCCCTGGATCTCGTAGTCATGAAGTAACTTTCTGAGAATACCTAGTGAAAGTGATGCTACCTCCCACTGTTAGAAAACATAGAAAAACACATTCTAGAGACAAGTTGTTACATTTATACACGTAACTATGTTAACAAATAGATGTCACAAGTTATCTATTCTTTGTCCTTATAATATTTTTATGGTGCAGCTTTAAAACATACAAGCATGACCAAGGTCTTATGGCAACTAACTAAACTTGCAGTACTTAATAATCATTATAGGATGTAGTTGTAAGGTAAGGGGCATAATTCCAAAAGCAATATTTTAGGAGTTATGTTCCTTGTTTACATAGAATTTTTTTAATATACTAATTAATCAGGTGCACGGGTGAAAAATATAAGGCACAAACAAACAAATGTAGTTAAACCACAAATCATGCTAGGTCAGTTTGATAGCTACATGATAAAACAGAATTAAATATGAATCACAGGATTTGAACCCACACAACTGCAGTACAAGTGATTTAATGTCAGTAACTATACCATTTGGTCTTGGAGACCCTTGTTCTTTAAGATACTGATATACCCCTGTATGATATGTCAAACTGAATTAAAGATTTCATATTCATTTTTACATCTCTTTTTTTAAATATGAATATCCTGACAAATGATAGAATGAATTCAATTTACATGATAGCTAAAATCATCACTGCAATTCTGAAACTGAAACCTCTCTAAATATTTTCTTTAATGACAAAAACATGGAGATGCCAGAATTAGATAGTTCTTTTTTATCCCTGTTAAGAAAATTCATACAAAATTACACAAGAAAAAACACACACCTTTTCTTTTGGATCTTTGTAAGCTCTAGCACCAAACTTAAGGAACACATCATCTCTGACATAGTGTAGGTAGGGATCAAATCCTGGTGCCCTTGATCCAGCCCCGAGTGCTGCAGGGATAGGTGTGTCTGTTAACATTGTAAGGAAGTGTAGAAAGGCACATGTTATAGGGTATTCTTCATTCCTAGACTCTACCTCATCTAATTCTATCTGTATACCTCCAGACTGTTTACCATTCCCTTGCTGAACTGTCACCAGTACCTGATAAATGTATTACATTGTATATAAATATATATTCCTTGTTTCCTAGAAAAAAACTATTTTGCAAACATGCAGTTTCTTTCCTGTAAACAATAAAATAGGCAAGACTGCAACACATTTCCCCCATTAAATTATTAAGACTTATGTGTATATAGATATACAATGTATAAGAGCATATTCAGCATAACAATAATGATTGATTGACTGACCTGGGTACGGAAACAGCCTGATTAAACTTAAAAATGAAATTTATTCCACATAATTCAAACTGGTTGAAACCAAGGTTCATGCTCAAGACAATTATTTCAAGTCATGTGCTTCAAGCAACTGCATTCTGACTGCAAAAAGTTATTTTCTTTAAGTTATTTTCTATCTATATTATAAGGCTAATAAGTGATTGAATATTGTACTAACAATCAATCAGCCTAAACTCTAGAACTAAAGCATTAGGTTTTATTGTCCAAATAAGATCTGTATTAGTCATACTGTAACCTTTATCTTATAACATAGAATGTAAGTGTCTAATATCTGGTATATATTTTGTTTGTTTTGTTTGGTTTTACAATGCATTAACACAATTTAGGTCATATGGCGCCAAAACAGGAAAGATAATTTTGGCTAACCTTGGTTGTTATAAACTTAAAGCAACACCAGGGGTCAAAACCACATCACCTGCTGGAGCTAAGAGATGCATAGACTTTAGTAATTTGAACCCATTTAGTCACCACTTAAAATCACACAGGGATAAATGGTGGCTGTGATTGCGATGCCTCAGCCCTTAAAGGCTTCTCGTTAGCCACACATATATAATATATACCTGTGTGAGAATTACTGGTATAAGACATACCTGTGAGGCCTCCAGTGTCTGCCATAATGTAGCAGCATACTCGGGCATCTTAGCTAGCGAAGCTAGAACCTTCAACAACTCAGACTTCATCTGTGGAGGAACACTACAACTGACCAGTCCAAACAATAACATCACCACTGACCATTGCTGATTCTCATATATAGCTATACAACAATTCTCACTCTGTAAACATAGACAAAAACTTCATTTACTTTACATCTACAAACTCAAACAAGACTCTTTTCTTATATGGATCTAAAACACAACATAAAAGCAAGTAATTTCAATAATTTCATAAGGGAATAAAAACTTTTGTGTGGGAACACTTTTTAAATACAATGATTTATATATTTTTTTAAAGAAAACTGACTTGTAGACTTCAACTATTTTATTTATTTCTTTTAGAGGGTGCAATAATTTGAAGAAAATACAAACTTAATAAAAATACTTAATCATTTACATGTATCTCAAATGATGCTAAATGAGGAAAGAGAATATTAGTTATTGTACATTGTTCATGCTAAGCATAAGCTACAATCACAAATAAAACTCATTACCTGCTCACAAACTCTCCTCACTAGCTGTAACACCATGATCAACCCTTCCAGCTCTTGCGGGGTGATGACACGACTGTGCAGTCTATATGACATAGAGGGATCAGAGGTGAGTGGAGACTCGCGTCTTAAACTACTGTAGTACTGATTCAATGACGTGAAAATGTGATCCCATGACACTGTACTTGATGTACTCCCTGTGAATTAGTCAGTCTGCATTTTTAATTATCAAAAAAAAAAAAAAAAAAAAAAAAAAAAATTCAATGAATATCAGTTACTTAACATGTAAAGAAAATCATCATAATTTGAAAAACATGATATAGGAACAATAAGCAAACTTATTTATTTTATCACATTTATCATGTTTAGCAAAGCAACATTTTTCTCTCATTTGACTTGACGGTGTAATCTAAACTACATGTGAGGTGTTACTGTAAAGGATATAGGGTTATAAGCAATGAATACAAAATTATGGGCAAAAAAACATCCTCGAATATCCACAATTGATTAACGTTATCAAGCCATGGGTAACATGAATCAATTTGCGTCAATATACAACAACATGTGCATAAAATATCGACCAATGAAATCGTGTTTAACAAAAACTGCCGCAAGTTTGTCTGTAAGATAAAACATCACATAGAGCGTTTTAATGGATTTTAACCACCTCATAAAATCTTGAGGCAACCAATGAAAGAGCTGTCTTTAACACACCTTTAATCGATTGGATATTGGCCAAAAATCCCAAGGCTGATAAATACTAATGTTTCAGCTGTGGGTATCTGACGATGGGCAAAAAAAGTAATTTAGATCAAGTCAATTAACAAGTAAAGCCTTTAAAAAAGGAAACCTTGATTTAAGATAATTAACAGCTAACCAGTGATTGCATTTTACATAGAGTTCAAATTTATGAGAATCTTCAAACTTTACATACCATTTATCTTGAGTAGATTGTAACAATGTTGAGCACTCTGTTTAGAGGATGCTAGTCCTGTCAACATCTTGATGTACGGTACATACAGGGAGGCCGGTAATAAATCTCCTGCCATACGTACAAACTTGTATAATGCTACCTGAAATTATAGTGTCACATTTCTAATTTACAACTTGCAAATTGACCGTTTATGCTTCCAGTATACAGTGATTACAGTATTGGCGACACATTTTCAAGTTTAGATCCCCAAAATTGGTAATGAACAGTTCAACTTATAGAAGCTAAACAAGTCGATTTACGAAAATTTAGATGGGGTGAAATCACCATAAGACAAAATTGTAATTGAAAAGGATCAGTGAAAAGAAAGAAAGGTAAAGCAAACACAAATAATACAATCATGTTATACCTGTCTTTGTGGAGGTCTATGATGGAATGAGTCTTGTTGACTTGTAGGTTCAGGACACCAGTAATCCAGTGATAGGTCAAGGTCAAGTGGGTCCTTCTCATATAACTTTACTAATCTGAAATAATATATAATGGTTAAAATTGGTTTTCATTTAGTACAATATATTGCTAAAAGTTTTTACAAGACGTGTGTGAAACTAAAAAAAAAATCACTGCAGCTGAATATACAAAATAACTTTATACATACTTTTGTTGAATAGTCAAGGTAAATTATTAGCTAAAATGTATCATAAAATATTACTGTATGTGGCAGGTGGACCAAGATCAAACATATTTATTTATTACAAAATAATGAACAAATCTTACGTTGTTAAGTTTTAAGGTAATACTAATAATAATGTATACCAATAGTAATAGATGTTCAAAATCTCTCCTCAAGTTGGCAGGGGGGTCTTGACCTTCCTGTAGATGTGCCATTATAATTCTTGCTGCCTCGTCACCACGGTTACGAATTTCTTTTACCTGAAATAAAGATTAATCTTACTATATTAAGTTTACATCAGAAGGTGTAGATGACAGGCTAGTGCTAGTAGCTTGAATATCAATGCACTCTGACTAAAGTGTATATTATCAGTTATAAAGACTGTTGACAGGTTATATGGCCCTATATAAACAGCTGTTTGTAAATATAAACCGAGCCGCTAGGCGAGGGTTATATTGCAAACAGCCGTTAATATATGGCCATATAACCTATCAACAATTTTTATAACAAATTAATTATACAGCAAACATCATTTTTTAGAGAAAAAAAGTAAGATTTCTTCAGGAATCGACAACAGCCGTGTATATAAAAGTATATAAACGTCACGGTTATCAAATGAAAAGCGACGTTACAAACGTGCAGTATTATAATGATAAATAGATGGCTGAAGACTTCTAGTATTTATGTAGTGAAGTCTCTTGTAATTATCTGGAAAACTCTAGTCCACTTCACAAATCAAGCATGATAACAGCACATATATAGAAGGATAACAGTTAAAACACTTTCATGTTATTTTTATCAGATATCAACTTATAATTCATTATCAAAACTAGAAATGTGTCCATAAGACATGGATTATGGACACAGATACCCCCACTTTCCACTTTAGTCAGTCTACAGATGGACAGCAGGATACAGTGACAGTGTGATGGATAAACAACTTTATATGCATCCCCACTCAACAGGTGGGGGCATAAAATTAGTTTTTACATCATTAACTTCTCTGAATGCATATTTCAGTATTTCCAAGGCATGCAGACAAAAGAAATATGGGCAAGAACAAAAGATCCTGGCCAAAAGAACAACATATCTTTCAATGAAGTTGCTTTCTGAATGTCAAAGATTTTAACACATGATAATTACCTTTAAGGGCATGTAATAAATGAAGTCTGTCAATAATCCATGAAGTCGCCTTACATAGAACTCCTGAAAACATTAAATGACAAACATGAATATATGAAATAAAGTACTTCATATGAATCTAAACAATTTGTGACAGAGTTAAACAACAAGAACAGCTGTTCAGTCTTAAAAAAAAATGATTATGATAAAAAGGTGAAAGAAATTTTACAGATCCAACATCAAAAATAATTTATCACATAAACCATGGCCTAGGAGTGGCAATAAGCCATTCAATAAAAAACGATATTACACTAGTGTGATAATAATTTGATGTGACATCATCTGTTTTATACAAACAGCATAAATGTGCACTTGATTTTAACGTTCCATTGTAGGCATGTCAATTCATAAAAGATTTTTTTACAGTTATTATTTTGGTTATGTGCTAAATAGATTGTAGGTCCATTACTACATTTGTTGAACTTGTTGATGAAATAATATTATGCTTGCCAGAGACTCCCATAATATAACTTTATGCAACTCAGTATTGAACCTACACTTGTATAATATCCTCTATATACACATACAATACTGACCTCTTTATGAAGTTTCTCTACTGAAACAACTGATTTATGTAGAAAGCTGAACACCTGACCATCAATGGCTTGATCCATAAAATTCTCATCTTCTTCATAATATTCTCCTGCACCTGATATATTACAGTAAAATCTTATATCTCACATATTATATGATATCTTACATCTTATATCTCACACCTTATATCTCACAAAATATATCTCACACCTTATATCTCACATCTTATATCTCACATCTTGTATCTCACACTTTATATCTCACACCTTATATTATCTCACACCTTATATTATCTCACATCTTATATCTCACAACTTATACCTCACATCTTATATCTCACACCTTATATCTCATGGCTTATATCTCACATCTAATATCTCACATCTTATATCTCACATCTTATATCTCACACCTTATATCTCACATCTTATATCTCACACTTATATCTCACATCTTATATCTCACACCTTATATCTCATGGCTTATATCTCACATCTAATATCTCACATCTTATATCTCACACCTTATATCTCACATCTTATATCTCATATCTTATATCTCACACCTTATATCTCACAACTTATATCTCACATCTTATACCTCACATATTATATCTCACATCTAATATCTCACATCTTATATCTCACATCTTATACCTCACACCTTATATATCACAACTTATATCTCACATCTTATATCTCACACCTTATACTTCACATCTTATATCTCTCACCTAATACCTCACATCTCACATCTTTTACCTCACAACTTATATCTCACATATTATATCTCTCACATTATACCTCGCATCTTATATCTCACACCTTATATCACACATCTTATATCTCACACCTCATAACTTTTATCTCACATCTTATATCTCATATCTTATACCTCACATCTTATACCTCACATCTTATATCTCATATCGTATACCTCACACCTTATATCTCACATCTTATACCTCACACCTAATATCTCACATCTTATACCTCACACCTTATATCTCACATCTTATATCTTATACCTCACACCTTATATCTCACATCTTATATCTCATATCTTATACCTCACACCTTATATCTCACATCTTATATCTCATATCTTATATCTCACACCTTATATCTCACATCTTATATCTCATATCTTATATCTCACATCTTATATCTCACACCTTATATCTCACATCTTATATCTCATATCTTATACCTCACACCTTATATCTCACATCTTATACCTCACACATTATATCTCACATCTTATACCTCACATCTTTTATCTCACACCTTATATCTCACACCTTATTTCTCACTAACCAGATAGAAAAATTTGTAAATGTTACTAAAAATAGTGGTGTTGGAAAATCTTATCTCACATGGGCTTATCTCACACTCAATGTGCAGCACTTCTAAAAACGTATTCCTACACATACGCGATTCACTCCTATTTTAACAAAAATGAAACGTCAAAATGTATTAAAAATATGTGAGCTAATCTATTAAATTGTCCACGGAATCAAAATAGATTGATATTAATTTTCACACTGCAATGAGTCCTACTCTACCTAGGTCCGCCCTTTTCAATATCGACCCGTTACTAAAAATAGCACACTTAAAATATCGCAAAATTCTTCGTAAAATCGGATATTATGACACTTTACCTGAAGAACATCCATGTCTTCTGTTATGATAACGATGCTTCTTGATGACAATCTCATTTTGATTTATTTTAATTGAATATTCGGCCAAAATAATCGAATAAGTATAAAAATCTTTGCAAACGGTAAACGCTTTTTGGCAACCATTTAAGTATGGACTGAATTTCTTATAAACACTTACATTATGACACTTTCCGACTTTAATATTGATGTGTTTTATCATGATAACCTTACTTTTTGATGAGTGATCTCATATGAATTCATTTTCATTGAATTTTTCACACATAAACTTGGTCAGTACAATTTTTTGCGGACGTACATCAGGCGCCTAAGCCCCGCCCCGCTTTTCAAAACTAGGGCGTAGCAAGTAGATCTAGTTTCACTGATATTCATTGTGTCCAGGTGAGTGCGAAAAATAATCAACCAAGGCTCGTTCCCGATGGAACCGATCACCCTCGGGTTGGGATTTCCCTATCCTCTATCTAACCTAATGATAGATTCTATTAATCTCACATATTATATCTCACACATTATATACCTTATATCTCACATCATGTATCTCACATCTGATATCTCACATCTTGTGAACTTTAATGCCAAAGTGCTTGTAATTCACACTTATATCATATGCTTTATAGTTCTTACTAAAAACATAATAACATTAAGAAATATTTCTTATACTGCAAAATCATTATCATTTGTGGTGCATTAATTTTTGTGGTTTTCGTGAAGAGGTCAATCCACAAATTTAAGATCTAAAGAAATTTTATTTCATCCGCTGTAACATTATTTTGCATCACATTATTTACATTTTACCTTTTTGAAAAATCGGCAGTCAACAAATTTAAGAACCCATGAAAATGTTCTTTGTGACAAAAACACAAAATTTCAAGTCCAAGAAATTAAGTGAATTCACAGTATTCCATTTAAATTACAATGGTTTCTGACATTTAATATTTATGATAAAGGATCCAAGTTTATATTGACAGATCAAATGTATAACTTATTTAAGAACTAGAAATGTGTCCATAGGACACGGATGCCCCCACACGCCACTGTTCTGTCAATCTTATGACTCTAGGTCAAATATTTTTTGGACTACATGTGCCACAAGTTGAAAACTAAAAATCAACAAAAAGCCATAATTCTGTTAAATTTGGTCGCAGCAAAAATTCCTTCCTTTACTACCATCTACACATTAAGGTTGTTAATCCCTGGAAGTTTAAGCAAAATCTGCCATCCGGTTTAAGAGGAGTTGCATTCACAAAATTTCTACATAGTATATAGTGAAAAAATCAACAAAGGGCCATAATTCTGTTAAATTTGTTTGCAGCGAAAATTCCTTCCTTTACTGCCATCTACACATTAACGTTGTTCATCCCTGTAAGTTTAAGCAAAATCTGCCATCCGGTTTAAGAGGAGTTGCATTCACAAAATTTCTACATAGTATATAGAGAAAAAATCAACAAAGGGCCATAATTCTGTAAAATTTGTTTGCAGCGAAAATTCCTTCCTTTACTACCATCTACACCTTAACGTTGTTCATCCCTGTAAGTTTAAGCAAAATCTGCCATCCGGTTTAAGAGGAGTTGCGTCAACAAAATTTCTACATAGTATATATTGCAGGGTTCCCACTCTTAGATATTTTGAAAATTTAAGGACTTTTCCAGGACTTATCAAGGACCTTTTTGGATTTTTTAATGACTTCTTAGAAGATTAAATTTCAAGTTATTTGATTTTTTTGTCCTATCAATATGTTCATGGTAATGTTTAGAACAACATTTAATAACACCAATATAATACATGTAGTTCATGACATAAATCTAACTCCATCTAAGAAATACATTCAGTGGTACTTTGTGACAGCAATTGTTTTTGCAGGTTGTCTTCAATTTTTATGTAAGTGTATATTGTATTCATGATTAAAATAGCACATTTTTTAGTATAACACATTCATTTTTAGTATATTTTGGCTATACAATGTATTTGGGTATTTCGTGCTACCCAAATACTGTATTCCTAGAAATGTTCGCGGATACAATATTTCGCGTTTTTCACAACGTCGGCATTTTCGCGGAGACAAACTTTCGCGCATTTAAGGTAACCGCGAATTCCGCGAATATTAAGTCGCTACGGCCTAAATTACAGTTTTTTGACAAAGTCGTGCCGTTCCGTGAACACTTTTTACTTATACCTTTTTCGCTATGCGATTAAGTAAGATTTAGTCAGACCCGTTAGCTTTTATTCTCATTTGAATCATAACTGACTTTATCTTTAAAATGTCGATACGTAATTTTTTTACACCTGAAAAATCGGAAAGAATTGCCGATCCTTTGGAAACATTGTTACCTTCTTGTAGTACGAGTGATGATTCTGTGATAGAAATTGCGAATGAGAATGTGAAGGATGTTATTAAACAAGAGGGCCATGATGGCCCTAGATTGCTCACCTGATTTATCAAACTCATCCAAACAATTACCTAGACAAGCATTCTGACCAAGTCTCATGACAGGTGAGTCAAAAATGTGACCACTACAGTGTTAACAAGGATTATCCATATTTGAGCACTGCGACCTAGTTTTTTACCCAGGTGACACATATTCAAACTTGACCTAGAAATCATCAAAACAAACTTTTAGACCAATTTCAAGGATACTTGGATCAAAACAGTAGCAACTAGAGTGTTAACAAGATTTTTCTATTTTTAGCTCCGGTGACCTAGTTCCACATGCGATTTCGAACTCATCCAAGCAATTACCTATACAAGCATCCTGACCAAGTTTGATGATAATTGAGTCGAAAATGTGACCACTAGAATGTTAACAAGGTTTTTCCATATTTGGGCGGTGTGACCTAGTTTTTTTCATCCAAGATGACCAATGTTCGAACTTGACTTAGAAATCATCAAAACAAACTTTCAGACCAATTAACAGAATATTTGGATCACAACAGTAGCCACTAGAGTGTTAACAAGGTTTTTCTATTTTTAGCTCCTGTGACCTAGTTTTTCATCCGAGATGACCCATGTTCGAACTCATCCGTGCTATCACCTAGACAAGCATCTTGATCAAGTTTGATGATGATTGATGCAAAAATGTGACCACTAGAGTGTTAACAACGTTTTTCTATTTTTAGCTCCTGTGACCTACTTTTTCATCCGAGATGACCCATGTTCTAACTCATCCGAGCTATCACCTAGACAAGCATCTTGACCAACTTTGATGATGATTGATGCAAAAATGTGACCGCTAGAGTGTTAACAAGGTTTTTCTATTTTTAGCTCCGGTGACCTACTTTTTCATCCAAGATGACCCATGTTCGAACTCATCCGAGCTATCAACTAGATAAGCATCCTGACCAAGTTTGATGATGATTGATGCAAAAATGTGACCGCTAGAGTGTTAACAAGGTTTTTCTATTTTTAGCTCCGGTGAACCTACTTTTTCATCCGAGATGAC